CAATGTCAAAATCATTCATCATACTTGTGATGAATTCTTTTTTACGAAAGAAGAAATGCCTATACACAAGAATTAAACTTTTTCAGGACACATTAATCAAATATGATTTTGAAAATCGGCCGAACACAATATTATTTGTAACATAAAATTCTAACCACATGTTCGGCGCTCAGCAGATCTATATAGTAGATCAGTCTTCTATCAGAAATATGTCATCTATTTCATATTCATCACTTCAATTATATACTATAATCACGTTCAACATAGCAGGCCATGTATCATATGTATGTTGATAGTCCATCTTCATACTGTTACATATCGTAATGTCAGAATGGCTGTGATGTATATCCTCGCATACGTGTATATAGTATGCAGCAACTCAATGCTGGCACATACGGAATGTATTCTGTTTAGTATACACAAACCCTTTCCTGCGTGAAGCTGTTACGTTGAAGCCGCCCCTTGCTAGCCACCCACAGGCAGCCGCCCGCCTCCCCACGGAAAGCGCGAGTGAACAGTGAAAGTTCAATGTTCACAAAACATACAAAGATGACACGTATGTACGACAGCCAGCATGCGAAATGCACCATCAGAGACCGTATTTGCCAGTATTTGCGAAACGCGACGAACTAGATTCGTTCCTAACCAACATTTGCTAATTATTTTTCCATAACATTCTGTAAAATATTTCTAATAGATATTGATGTTCGTGAGCAGTTAACGACATGTAAAAGCATCACGATGTAATAGACAGCTTAAACCAACAATAGTAGAAGTTATATAAATCAATTATTATATAGCAATATGTATTCCTTACACGCAAAAAGAATTCAAGCAAATTCGATTTGAAATTGCGTCATAAATTCATATTTTACAAATGAATAATCCATAAATAATGTTAAGCTAAAAAAATGCGATTATAAAATAAACGATTTAAAAAACAAATAAAAAATGGTTGAAACAGCAAACTGTTTTATGCGGCATTTTAAGAAACAAAATCATTAAACAAAAAAAAACATTCGAAACAGTTATAATATGGCATAATTAATGAAATTACATACGTTAAATATATATATATATATATATATATATATATATATATGTATATAAATATATATACATATATATAATACATATTTATAACTATGCATATATACTAATTAGTACTTCTCATTTTTGTGTTTTGTTGAAATATTTCTGTGGTAAGTTACGATATTTTCACTGTTCTTATCTCTATATATTTTACATTAAGGGGCACAACTAGTGTGAGATTTTCAAAAAATCGAATTTTCAATTTTGCCATATTTCGATAGGTTGTACCTTTAAAAATAACATACCAAAATTTTAATTCGATATCTCAAATAGTTTTTGAGTTACAGCCATTAAAGGAGCATATATATATATATATATATATATATATATATATATATATATATATATATATATATATATATATATATATATATATATATGCTCCTTAAATGGCTGTAACTCAAAAACTATTTAAGATAGTATGTATATAGCATAACGATCATTTAATCTTTAAACGCGTTTTTCTGAATTTGCAGAAGCGATTACTCAAAAACAAATAATCCGATCACTATAAAAATTTTTTTACATGTTCTATATATAGTTCTCCGTAAAATGAACTATCGATTTTTTGATCGGATCAAAAATCGAATTTTGGCAGTCCAAAAACGACCAAAATTTTGCGTGAAATTCCACTGTATTTAAAAACGCCGTCATTTAGTCAATTTTTTATTTTTTTCCGGTTATGTTTTCCATATTACTTTTAACATTCATTATCAAAATTGCTTTAGAATGTAGCACTGAAGATGAGTCAAACCAAGACTGGAAACGTATACTATTTTAATAAAGATAATCATCTGTATTAATTTTACTATTATTCTATGGATGACCAAAAAAATATGTATATATTCGAATTTTTATTTGCTCCCAGAGGTTCAAACGCTTACAAATCGATAAAAAAAATCAAAGTTTTAGCTCTTATTATTAGTTTTAAGATGGTCCGCACTCCAACCAAAGTTTCTTATGGTAATAATATAGGAAACATTCCAATGGTTTTTTATATTTTTAAACTCAGCGACAAGTGAATCAAAAGTAACAATTCGTGTCATGTTTTATCAAAAATTCGACGCTCTCCAAAAAAGGTTTCTTATAATTTTTCGTTAAATCTATTGGTTTAAGAGTTGAGTGAATATTTAATTAAAAGAAACAAATAAGGCCATAACAATAGATTTCCCACGAATTCACTGTATTGTCAATGACTTATATTTGGCAATAAGAAAATATCCAGATGCGAAGCTAATAAATTAATAAAAAAAATCACTTATATTAAAAAATGCGTCATTATAAGTCGTGTAAACACAAACATGATCATGTGTAAACTAATCTAGTTGTAACTTGGATATTCTTTGCTATTAATCCTTAAGCAGGGTGCTGGACTGCTGAATAATCAAGAAAATTATTTATTCCAAATTATTATAAGATAATTATTTATAACATTAATTGTATTCGTTTAAAACTCTCCTTACTTTACTTCATGATACTCATTGTCAGTCGTTGAATGTGTATGCTCAGAACCGCAGAAGGTTAAATGACGTAAGAGCTGGTTTTTAAAATCCGGTTCTAATGTGAAGTATAAGTTCGTCGTCATTACAGTCATCCGAGTTAAGGTAAAGAGAAACTAGCAATGCTTTAAATATAATATAATATATATATATATATATATATATATATATACATATATATGTGTGTGTGCATGTGTGTAATAACCCTAATATTCCAATGAGATATGCCTGTAATATTCACCAAATACACGTATACCATTTATAAATAGGTGCTTGCCGTTGCTTGTAGATAGACAGTATGATAATATATTAGGTACTAAAGATTTGTATAATGCATTTCGAAAAACGTTACTTGAAAACAGTATTGATTTAACATCATTAACAATTATTGATGAAAATACGTTATTTACTTTAATGCAATAAATTACAGTCGTATTATTATTTAATATAATTCTAGAACCTAGGCCAAAAAAAATGATTTAAGTTAATTTTGTTAGTTGCTTTTCGTTTTTTGTCTTAGGGCAAGCTTTTTAATTTCATAAAAACCGCTTGTCGTAACATTCTCCAGCGAACAAGAAACGCGCTCGCGTCGCTTCAGCGACCACTGGCTCTAGATATGCGTATGCGGTTTATAGCGTGCACAACAAACAGATATGTGGAATGGCTAGGGCGAGTATTGGCTGCGAGAGAACATTCAGACAAATATTTAATGATTTTAATAATTTAATAATACCAAAATCGGAAAGAAGTATTTATGTATTGCATGTTCATAAGAATAATAAAATTAAAATTCAAGTAGAACATTCAGACCTTTGAAAGTGTATGTTTCTTAAAAATAACTTTATTGTAAAAAAATCGAATTGTAACCGAAACTCAGATTTTATAATTTATGACAATGAAAGTAACCAAAATGACCAACAATTAGTAAAAAAATGCTTTACGAAACTTATATATAATTACTACAATTATCAAAATAAACAATACGATTTAAAATAATAAAAACTTACGTATAAAAACCAAATTGTGTATAAATATTTTATTTTTTAACATCTTATGTAGTTTGCTCACAAGATTTTCAGTAATTGATACTATAAAAAATATATTAATTTTCCTGCATGTGGTCTAGTATAGTATATTTTTAAATTGAAATACCATGTGAACATTGATAAAACTGAGTTAAATACGAATAATATCGGAAAAACAATAAATTTTACGATTTTTTTTTCTCAAATAATCTTCATTAATATAGTGTACGTTAGGCAAGGCTGGTCGTTAATTTCAGTACTAAAATATGAAGTGAAACTGTTCAACCAGGAGTAACTCCTACTGTTTATATAAATTTTAAATGTAATCGACGCACATTATATATATATATATATATATATATAATTTTTATGATATGAGTGGAACGAATATTAATTGTTTAATATGAACAAAACAGCACTCAGATTTGTTTAACACAACTTTATTTTATGATTACAGACGTTTCGAGACCATGGTGTGTCTCATCTTCAGTGTAATTTCAAAAACAGTTACTTATATACTACACATTCTTTAATAATTTATTTAAATTTTATTTAATTTTTGGTATACAAAAAACACCAACTATTCCTTGCAATGCTTGACACCGTACTAAAGAAACACCGTACTAAAAATTTTTATATTCCAAAATTAAAGATGAAACTCCATTAACAAAAAAGAAAGATATAGTTTATAAAGTAAATTGTTTGGATTGTAATTGCTCTTATATTGGCCAGATATATATATATATATATATATATATATATATATATATATGTGTGTGTGTGTGTGTGCGCGCGATTCTTTGTGGTCTTTTCAAGAAAAAATATTTGGTGTAAACTTAATGGAAATAAGTTCGAGCGCATTCTACCTCGTGCATTAATTTTTATATTTATAGAAAAATACATTCTGCAAGCTACAGTAGACACAGAAACAAAACACCAGGTCAGATAATCACTCAATTCATACAGTATACAAAAACTCACTCAAAGAAAGGCGTTTAATTGCGTAAAATTCGTAAGCACATTAAAACAAAATATTTACTATATTCCGAAGACAATGAACAATTATCATTGTCATTTAATCTTCGGAATGTTGATTATGTATTCTTTACTCGCATTGATTATACGTTTCAGAGATGTTTACGCTCATTAGTGATCAATGAGTTTCGTTCACATTATATCACATGTTATGGAAACGATGAAATAGCGATCAAAAATATTTTGATTTTGACAGATGTGTTTTGACGTTTGACATGAATGAAGGTGCAATGACGTAAGAATAATAAATATTTATGATTGCTTCTTTGATAGAATAGAAAGAATAGCCGAGCTTAAAAATCGGTCATTGTTTTTCATGCTATAGCTACAGGTTGCCACATGTACTCACCGGCGAAGTATTTCTGTAGGGCTGCCCAGGACCTAACTGTTGGGGACTGTAGGGCCTGGGGGGCAACGGCACCCAGCCTTGCGCTCCGTAGGGGCTCTGCTCGTAACTATTTAAATAGCGGTGCGACGGCGGAGCCCCGGGATGCGACTGCAGCAGAGAATTGAGCGTAGGCGTGGGGCCAGTCGGTTGCGAAATACTCTGTCCGGACAGATATCGCTGGGGCGGTCTGACGGGCGGCATTCCCGGCTTGCCGCCCCTCGCCACATAAGGGTCCGCGTTCGGATCGTGATAACGCGCGTACTGCCCGTACACGGAGTCTTCTCGGTCAGTCAGCAGCGCTCCCGGTGCCTGAGAGTCGCCACCGTCCCCATAAAGACTCATTTCATTTCCAACCGGCGATTTACGTTTTGTGTTCGATCCACTGTCACTACTCACTACACTTCTAGCACTATTTACGTCTGTTCCATTTTGTAATACGTTATTTCTCGAATCGGAATTTTGATCCGGAGGTGCGGATTCTGAACTCATATCATTTTGTTGACTCTCGGCTTGCGTTGCAGCCATGTTAACAGAGCCGCAGCTCCCACTGCCAACACCCCGCAATTTGTACGTTCCTATGGGCTTTATGTTATATCGAAAGTCTGCGTGGGTACGTCCACTGTACGTGTTAAACTTTCCATTTCTCGCTAAAACTCATCACTGTCACTAAACTACTTTTTCGACAGTCTTAATATTAAAATAATAATACCAATAAACACACTACATCATTTGCAAATACGACACTACTTACTAAAGGAGGTTAGGGAAAAGGTTATATATCATTAACAAAATATTTATGCATCACACACTTCTACGTTCACAATCGGTAAACCATTATTAATACAACACGTTACCATATTGCCCACACACAAAACATCATTAAAAAGTTCATTTCTCCAGTAATATCGCAACATACTGCCACAACTAGATTGTATAATGGCGCGGACTAACGCGGATAGCTAATGGAGTTGTTTCAAAATGGCGTCGCTAGCTCCGTTCTCGCAGTCAGCACAATCTCGCTTTGACAACACGAAGTCCGGCGCGGGAAAATCAAACATAGGCATCGGGCAACAATTGAAACTTTTATTTGTTATCATTATATTTTTACAACTTGAATCATATGCTTAAGTACATCAGTTTAGATAAATCTTAACAATATGTTAAAAATACTTATATTAATTAAATATTAATAATAATAATAAGTTAATAATATGAATTGAAAAGAGGAATGTTAAATGCCACAGGGATTGTTAAATTAAAGCACAAAATTTGTAACAAAGTATATAGCACTCAAATGATAGCAATTTTAATATTCTCAAATTATTTAATATTCATCAAGATGATCCAAACTTGCTCATCCATTCCTCATACTTCTTAAGATCATCTTTAGAAACACTCTTGTTACATTTATTTACAGCTTCCAAAAAGTCTTGGGTAGAAACAGGTAAATCCAATTCTTCTTTTGGCAATTGTCTTATTTGTTCAGGACGAAGACCCGAGATCTTCCTGCGCATTGACATCATACTTGCATCTCTGAAAAAATCGTTTTTTCAGAAATAATACTTCTAGTTTTAAGATAATTATGTATACAATATTAATTTTATAGTAAAAACAAAACTATAAAAATTGCAATAAATTAGTATTTTTATATAAAATTAAATAGAAATGTTTTATGCATCAAATATTAATGAATCTGTTGAATATTTCAAGCTGATTGGGTAAGCAGTCAACCTCAATCAGTTTATTACTTCTGTATCTACATCTCATTAATCATAGTAATATAAAAAACATTGCCCTTGTTAATACTTTATACAGTGCATTCACTTTGAACTTCACTGTCTTATAACATAAACTTATCACACACCTGCACACATTAGTGATATCTGCTCCTGAATAACCTTTAAGACGTCTTGATATGTCACTTAAATCTACGCTGGGATCAACTTGCACCTCCCTTAAATTTATCTTGAGTAATGCTTCTCGTCCTTCATCATTTGGAAGTGGAATATAAATCCGTTTCTCCAATCGTCTGCGCATAGCCTCATCAATGTCCCAAGGAAAATTTGTGGCTGCCAGAACCATAACAACCTAAAAAAGAATGTAAAATAATATGGCCTTTTCACAAAATAATGTTATTTTTTTAACAAAATAATTATACAAAAAAGGAAAACATCCTACTTTAATAAAATTTGTAACTTACCATTACATTTAAGATGTACTAGTATTAATGTTATAACATTGTTTCTTAAATGTAATTTAAATAAGATACACTAAATCCTTGATCTAATGATAACAATATTATTATATTGTTTACATACTGCATAAAATCAACAGAAGAAAATCTATTATTTTTTTAAAAGTTCATTGCAAATCAAAAGCTTATTTTTTTTTAATTCTACAATTCACCTTGCTAGCCTCTTCTGAGTTAGAACTAATTCCATCCATTTGAACAAGTAGTTCACTTTTAACTCTTCTTGATGCTTCATGCTCAGACTCTGATCCTCTTCTTGAGCAAAGTGAATCAATTTCATCTATAAAAATAGTGCTGGGAGCATAGAATCGAGCCATTTCAAAAAGAAGTCTAACTATTTTTTCTGATTCTCCACGATATTTAGATGTCAATGTAGATGAAGACACATTAAAAAATGTAGTGCCGCATTCAGTAGCTACAGCTTTTGCTAACATCGTTTTACCAGTTCCAGGTGGACCCACCATTAAAACACCTTTCCAAGGCCTTCTAATTCCCTGTATAATTAAAATTTCAAAAAATAATTGTATAAAAATATGCAGTTAATCTCATTTTAAGAAAACGGAAGATATGCATAAAAAATGGTGATTAATATATTAGTGAAGGATTTTCTGGTGAGCAGGTTGCATACAAAACAATAAGCTCAGCATCAAACAATTTCATTTATTGTTTACATATAAATTTTTTAGAACACAATAACATTTTTCAGTTGTTTATTAGTATCAGTTGCCATGTAATATATAACTTCAAAACTGCTTTCTTCATTTAAAGATGTAATTGATATAATTTGCCAATTCAATATCAGTAACATGGTTTTGAAACAAACATTTCTCACTAAATACGTTGCTTGTAAACAAAGTGAAGCACATTTTCAATTAAAATGTTTTACTAATGTACACGAAAAATCATGTGAAATTTAGAGATGCTATAAGAAGAATGAATGCATACTTAAAATTTAAATTATAAAAACAACAAAATAGTTAGTAACATTTTTATGAAACTTAGTAAAATCTTAACAGGTTTAAATCAATAAATTGAATTCAGAACCATGTAAAAAAGAAACAAAAGCAAATTTGTTTATATTCATGTAAAACAATAGTTATAAGTTGTTGTATATTACTGTAAAGGCACTTTATTACAAAGATTTTTCAACCTGAATTTAAACAACATATTTATCAAAATAATGAATATATAATTAAAAACAAAAACCTTAAAGAAATCCGGCATCCACATTGGTAACACTACAGCTTCTTCTAATAATCTCTTAGCTTCATGTAAATCGGCTATATCATCCCAGTGTATATTTGGATTTTTCTGGACTATATCTCTCTCTGCAATTTTGTTATAAAGAACATTTTGCTTTATCATTTTCTATCAGTTACAAAATTCACATATTTTGTTAGTTAGGAGTCATAAGTATTATATATATATATATTCTGTATATTTATATATATATATATATATATATATATATATATATATATATATATAAATATACAGTAGAATCTCGTTTACCGAACATCAGTTATACACATTTGCGATTATTCGGACTATCAACCGCGACCATGTAGGTTTGTATGTACATACCTACAATTTGAATTTTTCCATGATTAATGCTGCAATTTAGTATATGTATGTAATGTAATCGAAGAAAATATGTATGTACATACTAATTTTTCAATAAACATTGATTTTCATTGATATCTATGTATCTAATTGTTATTATTAATAAATACACAACATTGTTGTTCTTCATACATTTGATTATCCAGACTTCCGATTATCTGAATGCCCATCGGCAATAATTAGTCCGGTTAATCGAGGATCTACTGTATATATAATTTTAAATATATATATATATATATATATATATATATATATATATTATGATATAATAAAATATGATATAGTACAACATAGTGAAGCTTAAATATACTGAAAAAATTAGGTTTTATATTATATCATGAAATTAAAATATTTAATAATAATATCATTTATATGCTGACCATTCATATACTTTACCAATGATACATTTCATATCACTCATCATTCATAATTGATAATACAATATCAAAATAATTAACATATTAATAAATCCTTTAATTAATATGCTATACTGATTCTTCAATTTAAATTAAATTCCAGTGTGTTTAAAATATCGTTAACAAATATTTCTTTACAAGCTGCTGACTATATGCATAAATCAATCAAAATCAATTTGAATCATAATAAATAATAAATCCCCATTATAAATGATATAATGACTTTTAAACATATTGTGACTTAAGCCGCAATATCAACTTTTCCACTGAAATAAATGTTAATAAATCCATGTCTGAAAAATTGCACTCTTGCAGTTTACTAGTAGATAGTGTCGTATTTTATAACATTATATCACTTATTTTTTAATATTAATATCTTTTGAATTTGTATCAAGGACTATATGTGCAACAAGGTTAGTAATGAAGACAAAGTAAAAATATCCAAAGCAGTACGAAGATTTGATTGTACAAGTCAATACATATATCGTTTTTATAATTTGCCTTACTATATACAGCAATATAAATACACAATTAAAACCAATACATTACTAAAATTGCAACAAATTCATTCATTTTTATCAAGCAATTATTCTTTCATTTGTTATAGGAAAGTTTTTCTTATAATATGAATTTATATTGCCAACAAAGTATGGTCAGTTTGTAATTTTGATACTGATAACTAATTTGTTATATAAAATACTTTTTTAATGAAATAAATAAGTAAAGTCAATATAAAATGATTTACCTAACATATCCACTAAATCTGCTTCAAGCACACATGATGGCTCAAATTTCTTTTCAGGTTCTTCTTTGCTTTCTTTTTCATCCTTATCTTTATCACCTTTTTCTTTTTCTTTTGTGTCCTTTTTACCATCCTTATCTTTAGAATTTGCTGTCGATAGACGAGTAGTTCCTGGCTTGCTAGCAACTTTTTTTCCATTTGTTGCAACATTTTTAGAGTTTACAGGCCCTTTACGATTAGGCAAAGGTTTCTTGAAGTTTGGTTTTACAGGCCTACCTGGTCTAGAATGATTAGAAAATTTTGCTAAACTTGCTATAGAGAAATATTTAAAATGAAACTTGTAGAATTTTAGAAATAGTTTTGGAAATTATATATATATATATATATATATATATATATATATATATATACACATGAATGCAAACTCGGTGTATTAAATACATAAACCTTTTAGGCAATATATTCATAAGCTTATTTAAAATTCATACATTTTAGCCAAAAACCAATTCAGTCTTCAGTAAAAAATATTGAAATTAATTTACATTAAATAAACAGACAATAATGTTGTGAGTGTCACACAATAATAGAACTTACTTTCAGCTAGATATAGTACTATTCTGAATAAAACTTCATTTTTTAAAAGGCTTCAACATATTATTATACTATTTCGAGTAGTATTATTATTCAGTTAGTAAATAAATAAAATGTAAAAAATATATGATTTCACAACATGAGTATATATATTCTATCTATAATAGAAAATTTTAGACACTTATTATATCATAATTCAAATCATTTTTTATTATGATATGATTGTGAGTTTTCTTGTAGTGTTTATATTATCATACTATTAATAGTGTCAGATGTACCTGTAATTAGAGAGAATACATACTATCTAACTATAAGTATGCTTAAATATTGTTTTACGCTTTCAACATTATTGTACATTCATATAGTTTTAATTAATTTTGCTATTTTTCTACTGAATGAAGAATTGAACTCTAGATGAAAAGTATAGATTTAAATAAACATCCACATATGTGTGAGCGTGTGATTTAAGTATATATACGTGGGTGTACATACTAAAATTGATAAACATTTATAAACTAATATACCTTCAGCTATTCTTTCTTAGTAAAATGTAATTTCTATTTATAAAATGTAGATGCCCATATATAGTAAAAACTGAATTAGAAATTTTTCTTAAACCAAACTAAAATAATAAAAAAAAAATTTCATAAAGTATTTATCAGGCATATCACTATCTAGCACTGAAATATATCACTTGGCTTAGATATAGTTAAAAGGTTTATATATACATATATATATATATATATATATATATATATATATATATATCATTTTCTTGTATATTATATATTATAATTCTCCTTAAATTAAAAATTTCGTTTTAAAATTATTTTACTTGTGCTCAGCATTTATAGGCGCAGGCCAAACATCTAAGTCTGCATCTGGAGGAGGTGGCCAAACATCAGGGTCATTGATTGCATTGAATTTACTTGGTTCTTCCAAAATAGGATTACGTACACGAATTGCTCTTTCATTATGTGGGTTAATTTTAAACTTATTCAATGGTATTTGTACTCGTTTTAATTGCAGATTCTCATCATTAATTTGCTTTTGTACCTGCAAAAAGTTAAGTATAATACATAAAATAAGCACAAAAAAGTTTCAAATCGATTTATAAAATATCTATTTAAGAATATTTCATCCAAATTATAACGAACAAAACAAAATCTTAAAAGGTGTAAATTATAATTTATTCATATACTTTTTTTGAAATTCTTTATCACTCGCTGAATAATTATCAGACAATTTAAATGTAAGCAGAAATTAAAACTTAGAAAACTGACACCATAAACAAAATATTATCGAAAAATAATCTGTGTAAATCAATTCTATAATAACAAAAATTAGTAAAGCTGCATTAGATACATAAAAATAAATTTGATCACACCACAAAACCATAACTATTATTATGTTTATGATAAATCGCAAATAATTAATGTGGCATTCTACATACTGTTAGATCGATCATAATTTTTGACGCAATATTTGTTGAAACAAATTTCTCAACCATTATCAATAAAATATGAAATATATAAAAACAGAAGAAGTTAGAATTTACTTAGCACATTTACAATTGAAAAGGAATAAACAATAAAAGTAAAATATATAGTAATAATATAAAAATGACTTCCTCTATTAAGAAAATATTATAGTCAACGCTAATTTTATTCTAAACAGATCAAGGAAGAAAATAGATTTGGAGTAATTAATATGAAATAAAAATTGAACTCTTTGGATTGATGTACAACATTATGCATTGTAATTGCTATGACTCTCCATTCTATATGCAAATATTAGATGAGCAAAACATTTGCATAACAGCCTGATAATAAATTTCAGCTGACTCATAGTTACCTAATAAAGTCATTTCTCTAGCCATTTTTGTATTTTCTCCTATTTCACAATTTGCTATATCCATTTTCAGTGAGCTATTATAAAGATAAATGTATTTAATGAATTAAATGCATAGTAAATTAGAAAGCTTTGGTTGATATGTACCTTTTTGTCTTTGTACCCACTCAATTTTTAAAAAAAACATACAGTTTTTAATGTTTCCAATCATAAACTAATATTTTTATTTATTAACAGGTTAACCACTAAAATTGTAGAATTAAAATCTATGTATTTTTTAAAGCTTTTAACACAGCAGATTTGTTTCATTATAACATGTGTTATTTCTCTCAGATGATTTATGAATAATGCATTATATTTAATTTCATTTAATGCGAATAGCCATGAATTGTCAAAATCAAGGTTACGCTTTTACACATTAATTTTAAGGAATATAACACTCATTCTAATATGATGACATAAACTTGGTTATAGGAGAAAATATCTTTGCGAGCAGCTCTTAATTATAAACGATTATATACTTTTTGAGATTATGCTTTATTTTTATCACATTTCTATTTCAACAGCATCACAGTACTGCTACAAACTAAACCCACACACGAACAAATGTCATGTTGAACAAAGGACCATTGCACACGATTGCACACTACACGATTCGTACTGCGCCGGACCGTCAACATGTGCACCGAAAATGTCAAATCGCTATCTAAACTAGTGGGGCGCATGGCATCGTGCCTTAAGGAAAATTGCTGGAACTTTCCGTGCCAAAAATATATTTTTTTTAAACTTTGAAAAAAAAATAGATTTTTCAGAAATTTTAAATTTTTGAAAAAAATAGACTTTTTGGAAAAAAAAACTTTTGGAAAAAATGTTTTTTTTTCTTATTTTGAAATATTTTGGAAATTTTGAACTTTTGAGAACAAAGCAATCGTGTTCCCGAAATCGTCGACGTAAATTTGCATCCGCGCACACACACACACACATACGTCAATTTTTTCTAAGGTATGCCAAAATGCTCAGAAACCTCTGAAACGTAAAGATATATAAAAATTTTCATTTTCGATTTTTTTACGATTACTATAACTTACCCTACGGGAAGTTAACTAGTGGTGCATGGCCAAGGTGCATGACATCGTGCCTTAAGGCAAATTGCTGAACTTGCCGTACCAAGCTTTTCCTTTTTAAAAGTCAATTTTTTTTAAACTTTAAAAAAATTAGTTTTTGAATTTTTTTAAAAATATGACCATTTTTTAAAAATATGATTGTTTTTGATATTCTGAAATATTTTGGAAATTTTGAATTTTTTTTCCAAATATCGAAGAGCGTATGCGCCGCGTCTCACTCTAACGGATAAACATTGATACGGAACCCAAAGAAATGGAAACAAAATTTGTTCTTATTATTAAAATCTTTATAAAATATCTGATTTGATGTGCAGGTTTAGCGAAACCGCTATACCAGCCTTCCCAAAAATTTTATCAGTTGTTCATTTTATAAATACAAATAAAATGTTTTTTGAATCATTCAAATTGGGCGCTCCGTTCGCTCAAAAACTTTTTGCTCTATATCTTCAAAACGGCTAGACCTGCCTTTACCAAAAACTGATCTTAGCACATCTCCCTGTTAATACAAATCGAATGTTTTTTAAATATTCAAATCGGTGGATCCGTGTTCACTGAATCGTCGACGAAAATTTGTATCCAAACACACACACACATACTACCATTGTCTATACAAATGTAATGAATACATTTTCTATATATTAAATATATTAAATACATTGAAATGCCAAAAATTCGTTTCAGTACTGTAGTTTTATTATTTTTTCTGTCCATTCATAATATTGCAAAAATGAGTTAGACTCTTGCTCAAACTGTTGCAACTTTTTTGGGGTGATTTGTCAACAAACTTTTAGAGCTTAGAAAGCTGCATATAAATCATTTAGTTAGAGTTATACATTTGATCAACTCCTTCTGTACATATCTATGATGAGTTATGCAACACATCCTTGCCATCTTCATATTTTTCAATAATTTCATTTAATTCAAAAGACCCTAGCCCTTTATTTTGACTACCCATGGTTATAAAAGCAAATAATATTTAGCAAAGAACGCGAACTTAATATATATAACTATACCATCACTATTAATGTATAATTAACGTTAAAATAATCCTTGATATATTCGCGTGGGTAAATCGCTATTACATAATTCATATCAATATATAATTGAAATGACTTACAACAAAACACTTTACTATCATGAAACAGTCAAAATATTTTTATGGCAGAAAAATCAGATTACAACTGACAAAATTTTTATATTTTCATTTCGCCATTAACATTTTTCTAGAAAAAATTTACTCGCTCAAAGCTCGTATCTCGTATTTTGCTCGTATGTCGAAGCTACAATACGCTTCTTTAGCGGTTCGTATTTCGAAACACTTTCATTTGAGTGCAACGGGGTATGGAACACTACTGATGTGAGTACATTCAAGAAATTTAGACATAACATTCCGAAAGTGAATTTCGAAATAGTTTCTTATCCATAAATTTAAATATCGACGGATTATAACATTAGCTTATGTTTATTATCACCTAATCAATTTTTTTTCTTTCGTTATTTTATTGAATTTTTACGTACGTGCTAACTTTCGTATATTTGATGTTGCTTGTTCTTACTTTTGAAGTGATGTTTGACTCATGACTGAGAACGAGAATTGACTTTCCCAACGGCAGAATGCGAGAAGCCGTAGCCGCAGAATCTGCTTCGTGTATCCAGTGCCTAATAATATCATAGGAACATAGATGTGCGATTGTATTCAATTATACGGTTGTATGCGAGATGTATACTATCAATCTATTAACTGTACTAATAAGTATTAACTAATCACTTTCTGAATCTTTTCTAATTATTGCAAACATATATCTTAAACAGAGGTTGGGAGAAAATTTGAAAATTTACATAATATGATTTATTTTCAAATGACAGTCCAAGTAATATTTTAATTTTGAAACATTAGTCCTAAACAAAACAAAAACAGTCTGATAATGATATAATAATAATAAAATGTTCGACAAATATACATAAAAATTATTTAGTATTATTTTTATTTTATTTTATTAAATTGTAACATCACATTTATATACACAATTTGTCAACTTTGAATAATATGATGCAAAAAGCTGTTCGGTAAAGCCCACGCTTTAACCCACATATGATTTTTACCTTGATTGTAAAATATACTACTAAAATGTCTTCTAATGATTTCATCATATATGTTTTGACAAACTGAAATAAAATTATTATTATTTCTATTATATTATTTGAACAGCGATCAGAACTTAAGGGCCTATGCGCAGTACATACGTCGGTTTTTATAGATGGCAACCCAAAAAGTTGTCCTATCTTTATGTGATGAATTTTTATTACAAATTACAATTTCTGTAATATTGATGAAGTTTTTATTGATGATGAGGGCTATTTTCACTTGGAAACATTGTTATATTTCTAAAGTAAAACCGACTTCAAACATCTTGACATCAAACTGTCCAAGGAGGTTGACATTGGACTTCCGATAGGAGTGGTAAAATTGTGGTTGAAACTAAATTTTCACTAATAAGATTATTGCATGTTTGCGATATTCAAATAGATGCTAATCGATCTGTTATTAACGTACACGTAAAGAATTTTATGCCTATAAGAATTCTAAATTAATCATTTTGTAAATAAAACAATTTAATCTAAAAGTATTAAACATATAATTTTTACATACATTTTGTTTAACAATTTTACTGAAAGCAAATTATTGTTTAAGTTTGCTTATCCGTTTTTGTCATGAAAGTTATGGCAGCAGGAGAAATACACCAAAGAAATATAAAAAGTGTAAAATGTGAATAATTAGAAAAATAATATATTTCAGTAAACCTACACATTTTTAGTCCTGATATCCGACGATTTGTGAATAAAACTTTGATTGATTTGTAAATTAAACTTTGCTGAATACTTTAAACTTAAGTTGAGCTAAACTCGTCACCGCCAACTGATTTCACATTGTAGGTAAGGTCGTTATACCAAAACTTCATATTAAACACGCACATAAACATTTTAAACATAAGAAATGTATTAAATAATTATTCGTAACATTCAAAAACCAGCATATTTAATAAACTAAAATAGTAGTTTAATGGTTTTATTCCATGGATTTGTAATGATGTACATTTTATTACTTCAAGTTAATTTATTAATATTTGTCATAAACTGATTAAAGCAAATTTTTATTTTATAATTCATTACAAAATCCAAAAATGCTTCTACAAAAAATTTAAACAAAATACCTAATTATATATCTAAAAAATTACTATCTGCTTTATACGCAAATGATCTGGATGTGACAGAGAGACAAACTTAACGAACAATGAGTGGTTTTTGCTAGCAAATTATGCAGACAGTTTGCAATTTTTCACATGATGTTCTCGTCACTAAATAAAAAAAATTACACTCAAGCATGCTTGCGATTAATAAATCATATTATTCACGACGTTTTGTAAGTAATCGTTTGGTTAACGATTAATTGATATCAAATTATATATAGGATTTTTAATATATTTTGCTAGATCCTAACGATGTTAATAAGAAAAGGGATTTTAAGAATACGTAATTTTATGCATTGATTAAGGTTTTTGGCAATAAGGAAGGTGCTTGGAATGAGCGTTATTGAAAAATAGTGAAAGAAAATACATATTTATTTTTACATGAGCTGTGAGTTTGGACGTTTATATATACACAAATTATTTGACCTAAGCGTATAAAATATCAATTTATATGTGAGAAATGATCTAAGTAAAATTAATTTATTTTGTTACGCTTATCTTGATACGATTCAAATGTGTTTTGTAATAATTGATTTATGTATAATTCATTTATATTTACAATAACTGGGATTTTCTTGTGCAGTCTTTAAACATTTTCTGATAGTTTTAGAGCTTCCAAATAGTAATTAATAGTCCAGTCATTATAGCAAGTTCACATCGAAATTCGAGATACCCAGCTGTAAGTCTGTAAATATTTACTTGTATATTGACACCCTAAAGTTGTCTCAAAATCTACTTATGGTATTGACACTCTACGTGTTAATATATCAGTATTTATAGCCTTTGTCAAAAAGAACAAGTCTCCCATCAATAGGAATCGGATGTTTTTTAAATAATTCAAATCGGTTGATCCGTGCTCTCTAAATCGTGAACAAAAATTTGTATCCAAACATACATAGTACACATACATATAGATACATTTTTATAAGGTATGTCAAAATGTTCAGAAGACCCCAAAACGTAAATAAATGCAAACCTTTTGATTTTCGTTTTTTTTTGCGATGACTATAAATGCAGTTTTATAGTTTAGTTAAATTATACTAGTATGCAGTTATAATTACAATAATAATTAAAATAACTATATAAATTATATAGTTAAAATTATAATTATAACTAGTACCTTACTCTCTCTATGTGTTTAGGGTAAAGTTCCTGTAGCGCAACCTCCTTGTTTGCTCCTTGTTCGGCAGTATTATACTGGGTGCAGAGCGGTAGCTACGTCGTCCACGGCGAAGTGGTCGCGTAGTC